TGTGTGTGTGTGTGTGTGTGTGTGTGTGTGTGTGTGTGTGTGTGTGTGTGTGTGTGTACAGATTTTTTAAAATAATATCCCTTTCGTCAGATTTTCAGAATATATAAGTCAGATCTTCATATCACGACTAGCTAAAAAAAATCACGATATCATTGATAGTGAAGTGATGCAAAAAGTTTGTCGTTTTTCATTAAGCTACAATTTTTTAAAACTATTGATGAATCTTCTAAAAATGAGATAAAAATTTTCTTCTTTCTTTTTTAGATAAAAAAATATATATTAAAGTCACAATAGTGAATATATTATAATAATTAATAAAATTACTTACAAAAATAGTTTTTTTACAAATTTGTTAATTCTATTTTTCGATGATAAACTTTTTGCACCGACTTAATAAGTTTTCAAAAACCTATGCTACTCGCGAATCTCACAAATTCGACGCATCCTTGGTATCTATCAGACCAATATGACTGATACGTGGGTTTCTATTGACGGGTGAAACAGGGCTCCCATGGATCTCCAGATCAAATTCTGAAGTGGTCAAACATTTTCCCATAACTCGGTTCCATCTATCAGCACTTTCGTTGGCAACCATGTATGTTTTTGTGATTTTTGGCTCTAAACCATCAGTGTCAGATCTTTCGCAAGCTCTTAATGCTTCTTGGTGTATAATAATTTCATTAGTAATATATGCTTCGCGACGTATCCTATTGCGTAACTTACAACTCATATCAGGAATACACCACCGTATTAGAATCATTACTAATGCCACAACATTCTGCAAAATATGCAAATATATTGCAATATAATTATTATCTTATTTGTTAAGATAAAATAGATAAATCTACATAAAATGCAAATATTTTAAAAAATAAAATCTATTTAAAAATAACATACCTCAAAAACGACGATAAAAGCTAATCTAGCCGCTAATATATGCCAGAACATAATGTTGTATTTATACTTGTTTGATGAGTTTGGTGGTTCTCTATAATCTGGATAGCGGCAGATCTCGATTGGGACTTGATTCAATGTCATATTTGGCTGAGTTCCACCCAGATCGCTAGTATTAAATTTTGCTAGAGAATGATCCAGGAAACCTTCTAATGAATAATTATCTGAAACCGTTATGCGGTAAACTAGTCTCGGTATAAAGTTTGAAGTAAAAGCTATGATGAATGCCTAAAAAATAAAAATTAAATAAAATTTCAAACAATTATAAATTATTTGAAAAATTTAATTATAATTTGTGAAATAATGCTATTTTCAATTATAAAATCATTGATAGATTTTAAGTCACATCTTTAAAAATTACATTTGCTACGTTCAGCAAAAAAAAAATAATTTTATAACTGTAGTAAGAATCTTTAATATGATTGATTTATATGTACATTTAGATTTAATAAGGAACTGATGGCAAAAGAAACAATCTAATTAAAAATTCTTACAACAGTTATATGTAAAATTTCTTTTTCTACTGAGCGCATTCACCATAACTGGTGAATTATAAAACTTACATTTGTGATAACAGATAGTTTGGAAATAGAATCGAGAATGCGGTACCATATGCCTATATCTCTGACACGCTGTCCAACTGGCCTTCTATACATGGTTAATAACTTTTTCGCGTCCAATCTCGTCTCGAAAACATTATTTAGTAACGCAAAGAACGGTGCTAATGGAAATGCAGCAACGAAGATCGTAACAAATCCATATTGTAGCACTATAAAAAAAAATTATAACTATGTATATTTGACAAAATTTTTTAATTACATGTATTTCCAACATATATTTCTAATAATAAAAATATACATTACTTTAATCAATTATTTATTATTCTTTGATAGAATAAACGATGTTTCTTTTTGTATTTACCCATTTCTAAATATTCAGGAAAAAGACTTCTAGGTCCCCATTGGACTAATTTATAATCTCTGACCCATTGCAAATATTTTCTAGATGAATATCTTTTATTCGGATCGTCCAACTTTTTCGAGCCCACGTGAACTTTCAAGGTGTTCAACCATTTGTAAAATAGAGGAAAGAGCATTTCCAAGATAGTATTCATGGCTTGTTTACCAATCATAATAATGCTCAGTTGGATGCATAATTCCAAGAGACAACCACCCGGTCCACATTCTTCTTGTCGAGAGCCAAAGAAACGATTATAATTTCCTGGATAACCAGTGAATTTCCCCTTGAAAAATGCTATATAAAATATAGAGGCGTAATAATTCACAAACTCCAGTAAATAAATTTTTAGAGTCAAACTATCGTCAAATTCAGTCTGAGTACGAAGTAATTCAATCTGAAAATAAGAAACGAGAATTTTCATATTTATTAAGATTAATAAAATATTTTTAGTCTTTATTTTCATAATTTATTTTTAAAATTATTAACTTTAATTAATATATGTACACACATGATAAAAAAATAATTTAATTCGAATTATTATTTTAAATAAGTTTTTTGATACATTTTAATAGATAGATCCTTATAAAATTACCTCAGTCAAATATTCGGCCAGCCAAACATAAAGCCAATTAAATAAAATGATACAACAGAGATTAATGCAGGCGGCAGTTGCGGTAGTGAACAATATAGCATAACTAGTTACCATTGGATGTCCAGAAACACTTAATGCAGTTAAAACAGACATTCTGTATAAAACTACTCCAAGAACAGCAGCCATAGCTACAATTATCTGTAATATTATCATATAAAATCCTAATAAATTTTTGTATAAGACAATATATAAATATTATTAACATATCAAATTATATTCCTATAAATATTTTTTTAATAACAATTTTTTTTATATTGTGGAGATTAAACATACCAAAAGTAAAACAACTGAAAAACTGAGAATCGTAGCGGGTAATCTCATCTTCCAGTATGGCACTTGCGGTTCTTCTACATTTATGACAATATTGACAGATTTCTTTTTAATATGCGCAAGTCTTGCTAAGTACTGTGGCCTAGGATATTCTTCTTGAGCATCTAAACCAGTTAAATCCCATCTATGGGTTATTTCGGCAGAATATTTCTTCCATAATTCAAGGAACAGTGTGGCTAAAAATGATTATATCGTTGTACAATTATATAAAAAATGTTATTCAAACATAACAATTTTATAAATAATTCATTCATAAGCTATTATTAATAATTTTAACATACCCCATAATGACATAAATATAGAGAAAAATACTGTCGATGGATTGTCGAACAGATATGTAATTCTCGAGTGTAAACACGTTTGCTTTAAATTCCAAAAGTCACAAAAATGATCACATAATGGACACATCGCGATTGTATTGTTACCAATACAAACATCTTCGCTCGGTTCATTGTGATACAAAGTAGCGCAACTGTATATGAAGCACAAGAGACCGACGATACTAGCTGGAATTAGCATATGAGTGTAAAATCCCAACCAGGCGAAATAGAGCCCGATCTTCACCCCAAAGTACTCTTTGATGTAATCCAAAGGCTGATAATGAAGGCATTTTCTTAAACTAGCCCATTCAGTATACAAAAGATATCGCATTGAGTCCGGAGTGTGTAGATTTCCCTGAAACATAAATAGTATATTTATATATATCGAGTGAATTAGTTTACTCCATGCTCTAAAATAATTTTTATAATTTTGAAACCGCGCTCACAGTAAAAATAACTTACATCATGAAGCGGATACGCTGCAACGTATGTATGTTCGGATATCAGTCTTTCGACACCAAATGCGAAATCGTCCTCCTTGGTTTCTGTGAATCTAGTTCTGTCCAATATAAATTGCACAATACGCGATCGAGTCGCCGATGTGAAAAAATTGGGCGAATCCAAATCGAATAAATAATCTTTATCCCTACTATACACCGCTGTAAAGTTCTGCCTCATCGTCGGGAAAATAGTTGTGTCGACATAATATTTATTCATGATGCGCCGGAATAACGAATTGACTTCCTCGATAATAATGTTACTGCTTGTCTGAGGCATGTGACAACCAGGCAGTTCTCTCATTGGCAGTCTGAGTTTCAATATTTCAGCATATCGTCGCAAAACTTCCTTGGGCGCGTGAATCTTTATGAAGTGCAAGCCATTTGATTCCACTTGTTCGTACTCCAATTGTAGCCCTTCTTTTTCCAGATTCTTCTCAAATATCTGAAAATATAACGCGAATTTGTTGTAAGATAGAACTGATATATACTTTATTTAAATAGTAATTTGTATTCTTACTCTTCTACGTTCGACACTGCGGTAGGTCTGTGCTTCCCCGTTATACTCATCCCACACGAGTACGAAATCAACTGAACGTATCTCATCACGAAAATATAAACTATATCTTGTACCAGAAACAGAAAGCTAGAATATATCAAAATATTATATTCATATTTTTTTTAATCCTTTTATATCCTGCGCTAGTAACATGAATTTTAATTTTTCCATTAGCAATAGGAGTCTTCGAGAAACAAAGCAAATTTTTTATTCCGGATTATATAAAAATTAAAAAAAATTCTAATATATCTTCTAATATATAAAGCTTTAATAACGAATTTTTACCATCATGAAAGTCGAATTGTATTTTACTTATTTATTATAGACAATTTAAATTTATCTATTAAGATTCATAATCAAAATCTATTAAGATTCATAATCAAAATATCAATAGTGATTTTAGAAGATCCCAATTGCCGGCAGAGTTAAAAAAGTAATTTAACATAACTGTAATTTAACATAACTTAATCTATTATTCATCAGTTTTTATAATTATACAAAATTAAGAGTTTTCATTAGTATTTCTTTAAAATTAAAAATAACTTTTAAAATTAGCATTTTTAAAGGCATTGTTATTATCAATTGTAATATCATAATTCATTTTATTAATTATTGACTACAATTATATTGAAAATATATGTTATAATAGTTTGTTATACAATAATAAGATATAAATGAGACAACAACTCTAGTGACCACTAGAACCACATTTATCATCTTACTTTAAATCATAGAACACGTGAAAAAATCGATTCTTACCAATCTTGTGTCATGTATATTGTTCTTCTTGTCCATGTAACTTTCATTTATAATCGTTTCATTTGTGTCATTATTCACAGTGGATGGATCATCCATAGAGCAGAGATTATCCAAGGAAACTGCGCTGTGCATGCTGTTCACACTCATATCGTCCTCGTATAAGGTATTACGAATGCTTTGATACAATGTTTGTTGGGAGCCTTGGTTCAAACTGTTCTGCATCGACTGATACAAGCTTGATTCGGGAACACTGCTTTCACGTCGTTGCGCGCATGTAAGAGAAACCTCTTCGTCATCCTCTTCCATCGTTTAATAAATTCGTGGATTGTCAAACCCTACTTTATGCAAATCAAACAAACGTATGCATCGTGCAAATCGAAAGGAAAAAAAAATCAAGAAACATATAACAATTGATATCCCATTGGTATCTTCTGGTATATAATAAGAATGATTAAAATAGCAATGAAAATAAAATCTGTAATTGAGAGGCTTCTCATATTTCTTTAATTTTAATGACTTTATTCTTTAAACAAACATTTTTAATATTGCATATAAATATGTATAATGTATATGGTAATAAAATTATAATTAAAAATAAATTAGTCTGCTGTTTTCACAACAAGTGAAAATCTATAATTGAGGCTTTTCATATTTTTGCAACTTTGCAAGGCATGATCTTCATTCTCTAAACATACATATTGTGTATGCATATAGCAATAAAATCATTTATAAATAAATTATATACTGTTTTCATTTGCTAAAGCTAACCAAAATGTAATGTGCTTTTGAGAGTTAGATCAAGCTTGCATCCAGAAAATATAATCGCAAGACCCATTGTAAGGCCATTTAAAATCATGCTCTTTGTTTCATTTTTTTTTCCAACAATATCATCGAAGAAAAAATTACATTCTTACCTAATGCTATCCTCGGGTCCATTTACTTTGCGATACTGCCACGTTTATCTTTGGAAGACTGCGTTTTAATCGAACTGCTCTTGTAAGGCACGGTCTATATCGTTGTAAAAAGAATAGAGTAAAAAATTTACAATTATCATTGTTTTTGCTGTATGATACGAACTTCGAAATGATAGTTACATGCTGTATCACATACCGAATAATAGACCTACGTCACGCGTGGTCGTCGCCTTTTAGAGAACCCACCAAAATCCCATCTCATCCGACGCACTGCAGGTACAGGAGCGTACATACGTGATGTTCACGTGATTATCAATGACTAATAAACTAACTTTCGAGCTTATAATCACACCGTGTTTATTGCTGCGAAACGTGAAAACTATACCTGTTTCATTTTTCATCATATAACAAAATAATTTAAAACATATACTTCATATACATATTACAATCATAATTATTATGAGGAAATAGATCCAGCAGATAGAGTCCTCTTATTCTTATACATAATAAAATTTCTTATACATATACAGGGTGTACCGCGAGATTTTTCTTGCCGCTTACAGGAAGATATAAGATAGGATCGAGATGAACACAAAAGTCATATCGCTATATATCGTTTAGCGATGTTTGCAATAATAATGGAGATATTAATTTTTGTAATTGTACTAATGAGAGCACATCAAGAGAAACACTCCAGCTCGAGATATAGTCCGACTTAGTTTATCGAGCATTGACTGTCAGCAACGCGTTGGAGAGGCAAAAGGGGGAAGCGCGCTGTTGCTCGTAATTGTACTTTCATTAATACAATTACAAAAATTAATATCTCTATTATTATTGTGAATATTGCTAAATGGGGCTTTTGTGTTCATCTCGATCCTACTTATCTTCCTATGAGCAGTAGGAGAAATCTTACGAGACACCCTGTATACATAAGTTTGAAATTATTAAACTTTTTATTAAATTTTTATTAAATTTTCATTTGTTTACGATAATACATTTTGATTTATCATTTTCCGCGAATGAGACATAAATCATTCTTTTCTATACTAAAGTATACAAAATGAATTATTTAATATTAGAATGTAAGCGACTATCTCCGCAAATGATTGATTATTATAACACATCTAGAAAAGATATACACATGTATATATAATGTTGCGGAAGTGAATTTCCGCAGAGATACTACACACTATCGTAGGAAATATTTCACTTTACGATTTACTTTTTAGTTCGTTTTATTTCAGTGTAGTTTTGTAAATTGGAAGTTTATTTAATATCCATATGTGTACAAAACGTTCGACCTATATCACTTTTAACTAACAAAATTTATTAGTTATTAATTGGAATAAACGATAAAAATGTTTGATATTCCTCATATAAATACTATATATACATATATATAATTGTAGTTTTATGCAAGAAATGTGTGATCCTATTTGTCAATGTACTTCTTATCCTATAAACACATTTGCAAAAATGTATTTCAATAACAAAATACTTATTATTGAGATATGTGGATTACATAAACAGATCTTAATACAACTTTATATATATAATAATATATATACATATTATGTACAGAAAGTCATATTTATCAAATTACTAAATAATATATGCAAATATATTATACAATGTGTTTTTATATAAATCTTTCCATTCATCAAGAAAGATCCAAATGTATACAAAGTAAATACATTGAAATTGTTATTCTGAATATTTTAAGAAGTTAAAGATTCAATTTTTTTTAGCAGAAAATGATGAATATATGGTAATCATACTTCCTGCATAACTAACGCATTGAGTTCCTCTTCTCCTGGACACAACACTGCATCGATGTTATAAAAAGCAGCGTGAAGCGTTATCATAAACCAAGAAACTCCTGAAAGAGAAGAATATAAATTTAATTACTTTCTGTATCATACAATTCTATTTTGAAGATACTCTTTTACCTACCAAGTACCCAAAAGACAGCTGCATGTGCACCTACTAGGTAAAATACAGGCAGTGAAAAAATTCCAACTAAAGAATACACTTGCGCCAAAGTTAATCTATGATTTAATATCATCAATTCCTGTTTCGAATGTCGCTGAGACAACTTATAACATATTCCAAGGGAAGCGACAACTGCCAGCAACAACAGAGGTGAAGTAAGTCTAAAAAAAAATTATAGATTTTGTCTCTCTCTCTCTTTCACATATAGTTATATAAAATCATATAAAAATAATTAATTAACTCTGTTCAAGTCTATTTGACCCAAAATATAATTGAGTTTTTAATTAATATTTTATTTAAAAACTTTCCTGTATAATATTTGATAACTTTGTTAATGCAATTCTTTATCTTTTCTCTGTAAAAATGTATTTGTTATTTTTTAGAACTTTTATCATATTGACCCACAATATGATTATGTATTAAATTTAAATTAAAGACCAGTAGGATTAATAGAATTATTTTTAGATATTAATAGATTTTATAGATATCATTAATGCAATATTAAGTATTTCTTACAAGCAGTATATCACTAGTCCAATAAACACAAACAAATAATTGCTCTGGAAATATTCAATGTTCTTCACAATCCGCTTGCTCAATCTACTTATATTGGGTGGCGGTCTGATGTTGTTTGTGTTAAGGAACAATGACCATGGTCGAATATTTGCTTTTCTATGCTCGATCCAGTTTTGGGCTTGAGGATAGCCTACAGCTATCTGTCCAAGTGGCAGCTGAGGTAGTTGCAAAAATTCAAATCTATGAAATAACATAAGCAGAAAAATCAATTAATACAAATAATCAGACAATACAGGAATCTTTATATCCTGATTTTCTATTCTGCGTTTTCGATTTCTTCAACATCAAAATCGCTTTCGTGAAATATGTTCGAATTATTCACGTTGATGAGTTATTCATAACAAGTTAGTAATTAAATCTTTCTTACTAGGTTGCTACGTCAACGCACAGTATGGCACTTGCTTATAGGTTAAGTTAGATAAATCTTATATAAATCTTAGGTAAATCTAAAAGGAAAATGTATATTCATTACCCATTCGTAATTTTATGATTATCTGGCGGGGTCTGCATTTCCCCCATTGGGACTTCCACGTGTGCCATGACTTTCTGAGGCAAAAAATAATACTCCAAAATTATCCTATTTTTATCCGCTGTCGAAGACTCGCCTTTTGTTGTACGTATTCTGCTCTCTTATTTTAGTTCACACTTTCTCGTTTATTTGTGTTTGATCTCATATCTTTCTTTTCTCCTAAAAGTGTGGATACACACACACACACACACACATATATATTTTCCTTTTAAAAATAACAGAAAACGTAGAGACGCTGCAGAACAATGAACAAATTTGATGTAATCTACGTTTATACCGGGTGATCTTAATTATCCATGCAAGAACAATGCAAGTGAATGGTGTATGATATTTGAAGCTGATATGTATCTATGATCTCATGTCAGAATTCAAAAAATAGAAATAGAACTCTACTTATTAATTTTATAATCAATACGAAATACACGAATTTTTTAGAAAATAATTTTAATAAACGTTTGATCCTATTAAAAAAAAATTATTTGTTTTTAACAATATTAAGAATCTTTATTTTAGACGCATATGTAAGAAACACAAATAATTTTTAAATATTTGTGTTCACATTAGATAACTTTATTACATATTTCACGTGTGATTTTCTTTAATATTATATGTACCGAATAACAGTACAGAATAACATACTAAGTTTGCCAAAAAAATATTTTACCTGAAATAAAGACATGATTTTTGCTTTCATAAAATAGTTTTTTATTTTAGATAAAAATCTTTTTCAGTGATTAATATGTTTTTCGAACTTTTTTTTTTTAAAGCTTGCTCTATAATCTATTTTTTGTTTCTTGTTTCTTGTCTTTTGTTATTTTTTACATCTTGTCTTTTTGCTTCATATCCGATTTTTTATTTTATATCGTCCGAGATAAAAGTTAACGAATTTCGAAAGAAACAAGAAATACCTAGCAAAAAAATACAATTGATAAAACGGTTGCAAAGAAAAAAAAAGCAAAAGTAAAAAACAAGAAACAGGAAACAAAGAGTTCATTGTAGAATAGGCTTAAATTTTTTGTCATGGTTGATTCTCAATCAGTAATGTTTTCACATCCGTAAAATATTAAAGAAAGCCGGAAAATTTAAAATATAGGTATCGAAGACCGATTTGTGATCAAAGTGAAGTCCGAAACTTCTTACTTTTTAATTTGAATTTTAGAATGTAATTGTACTTTCGCAACGGATTTTAAAAATGATATTATGCAACATCATTTGAAGATTAATAACACGGAAACAATATATTGAATTAATGATGAAGAATAAAAAAATAAATTATTAAATTCGTATTTCGTTAAAAAATAATTTTAAATATTTGAGGAATAACATCATTAAAATTTAAATAATTTATTATACTAAAAAAGAAATTATAAGTCATGAGAATCATCTGTAAAAATAATTTGGATTAATAGAATAATTTTCTATCTTAGGAAGTGCCTAATATCTAATCTTTTTTCCGATAAAGAATGACGTCATTTAAGATTTCTATGACGACTATTCTGGCTAGATATATATATATATATATATTTATATATATTCTTTATCCAGTTGAGATAGTGCGATACTCGTGTGTACACATCAGGGGAAACGTACTGCTTCTATTGAAATGTTTTTCTTGTGATGCTCGCTATCTCAAACATCCAGACTTCCTTCGAATCCACCTGCAGAAGCCCACCCGGATATGTATCTTTTTTGCCATCAGGGTTCCTGGTGCAAATCGTGCTCGGCGAAACTTCGTTTCGCTCATCGTCGAATTTCCATAGTACATCGCGCAGGAAAAGTTTATGCATTCTTATTGCATGTATATTGTTCAGTTGACTTTCCAATTAATAATCGATCTATATCTGCTTAAGCACATTATATTGTTGATATATGTATACTATATTCGATTCAAAAAGATCGAGTAATCTAATTATATTGAATTCTAATTATTGAATTATATTGAATTATATTGAATTATATTGAATTATATTAATACTATAAATAGTATTATTATTTTTTTTTTTAAGAAGTTTATTGAGTTAAAAATTCTTTTAAATAATTATAAATTTTATAAATTACTATTCTTATTCAGAATTAATGAGATAAAAACAGAAAGATGAACATACATTTTTAAGCTAAATTATAAAAATGTAAGAAAAGAAAATTGAAAAAAATCTTTAAAAATTTTTCAAAAAATTTTATCTATCAAATTAATGAAAATAATGTCTGAATAATTTAAGAAATAAGAAAGAATAATTAATTCGAGAGAGGATGAAGAAAGGAATAACAAAAGAGAAAAGATTTAACGTAAGGGTGCCGCTGTCACACGAGCCGTTCCTGTTTTCGATGCCTCTTTCCACGTTGGCCAGCCACAGGTTGCAGCTGCTCGACGAAAATTTCTCTGCAGTGAAACTTTTGTCGCAAGAATGAGTTTATTTCCGTAAAAGAAAACAAGAACTCCTGAGGCGTCATAGGTTCATTGTGATGTACCTTGTGAGACACTATATAGAAAACCATATCCTACGTTAATTAAGAACCAATAAATTGTATTCCATGACGAAATTCGATGTGGTCCGTCGTTAAAACCATCGGCCTTCGGTTCCAAGACGAGGCGGTCCCAAAGAGATGAAATAGTCGACGGCAGATGTCCAGCCTGGCCGAACAGCTGCTGCAATATCGCACAGTGTAGATATATCGCTCGTGATACTCGGGCCAATAATTGCTACCTCGCGATCCGTCGTTTTTACATCGTGTTGATGATCCTTTAAAGAATTAAAAATAGACGAAACGTGCTTTAGTAATGATCGAATCACGAGCGTCGAACGATCGACAATGTCAGGATGAAAAAAATTTGGACCTAGCCAGAATCTTTCATATCCAGCATTTCTATCAATTAATTTGAATCTTGATTGAATTCTTCATCTTTTTCTAGTTCTAATTGTAAAAATTAGAAAAAACAATAAATGGAACCGAAATTAAAGTTAACTTACAATGACAGAAAACAATCTCCTACTGGGATTTAACTTTACTATTATATACGTTCAAAATATTCAAGAATGTTCCGACATCCTTTTATCTTATTTAATTCTTTGTTCTATTGTTGAACAAATAGAACTCAGTATAATAACTTATCTCATAGTTAAATATTTGAATCAATATACAATTGTAAGGTAAATACTGGCCCAGATAACACAAAGAAAGACATAAGAAATGTGTCTTTGGCATATAAAAAAATGTCTTTAAAGATGTCTTATATCTGTGTTGTCTAGGAAGTTGTCTTACATTTTTTACATGAAAAGACTAAGTAATAAAAATTCTCCAAGTAATAAAAATTCTTTGATTCATGTTAGATCAGCCAAGCAAATAAAGTTGGCGAATTACTTGATGTTTGTTCATTTGCAGAAAAAAATTTAAATCGCAAAAGATTGATATAGCAATCGAGATATACATATAATACAAAATAATAATTTAAAAAAAAT